GATCCGGGCCCCTTCCCGACCCCCATCCCGTGAGTTACCGGCTCGGAGCTTCCAGACACCGACTGCGATGAGGCCGATGATGACGATGATGGCAGCGATGACGGACACAGCGACCAACACCGGGGTGGAATTCCAGACGGATTCCGGCTCTGGGAAGGGCGGGAGGGTGAGCAGGGGGAGGGTTACCCCTATCCTGCTGTCCCACACTCCCAAATTCCTCGTTCCCACATGCCCAGTTGTCACATTGCCCGTTCCCAGGCTCACCCCAGGCAAAGATCCCGGGCTCCGGCATTCCGGCGTGCTCCACCCGGCACCGGTACTGCTCCCGCTCCCCCGGCAGCGCCTCGATCCTGGCCCAGCTGTGGAAGGTGCCATCGCTGTTGGGGACGATCCCACCCCACTCCGTCTCCTGATCCCAGATTTCATCCCCCTTCATCCAGCTGATCCCGATGATCCTGGGGTAGAATCCGTACGCGTGGCAGGACAACGTCAGGATCCCGTGTTCCTCGTATCCGGACACGTGGACATCAGGGGGCTCTGGAGTGGGATAAGGGTGAGATCCATCCATGGAATTCCCATGGGAATGGGACCACAGTGAGATCCATCCACAGAATTCCCACTGGAATAGGACAACAGTGGGATCTTTGAATGGAATTCCCCTGGGAGTTGGATGACTCAGATTCATCCACGGAATTCCCACAGGGATTCCCATGTTCCTCAGTTCCACCCTCCCAAATCCCACATTCCCAAATCCCACATTCCCATGGGAATTCTGTCTCCCTCACCTTTGCGCTCCAGCACCTCCCGCCCGTATCCAATGAATTTCCGTAGCGCTTCTGGACAGATGCTCCCAAGGTAATGTGTCCGTCTCTCCACCACGATCCCATCATGTTCCCATTTCCTCTTGGTGATCTGGGCAGCTCCATCGGCCGCCACGAAGCTCCTGGATCCCAGCTCGAAGGAGATGAAATCCCGCCCATCGTAGCCGTGCCGATAGGATCCATGGATGCTCCCGTCAGACAGGAGGTCACAGCCACAAACCCACTGCAGGGTGTGGAGACCTGGGGGGTGGGATCAGACCCAGAGAGACCCCTGGAATTGTGTCCCAGCCCCACGGAGCCCCATTCCAGCCCTATGAAGCCCCAGAGCCAAATAGAGACCCACAGATCCCATTCTAGCCCCTTGGAGTTCTCTAGATCCCCATCCAAGCCCCACAGA